ACTCTTTCACGTCTCCGTGCTCCAGTACACTCTTCCCTCTACCTGGAGCGCCTTCCCTACATCCCTGATGATGAACTGATGCCTCCTTCCAGGAGCGCACACTGTCGGGCCTTGTGTGTGTGTCTACCTCACACTCGGAGAGCAGGCAGGGCTCCCAGCCTTCTTCACCCCCTGCCCCCACTCCCCCGAGCGCCCAGCACAGGACCTGGCAGAGCAGCCTACGGGGGAGGGACGCTGAGAGTGAGACCCAACCCCTCCCCAGCCGGGCTGAGCCTGCTTTCTGTGGAGCACGGTGAGAGGGACGTGGCCCATCTCAGCTTTCCTCTGTCACATTCGGTTTTGTTGGGAGGGGGCAAGAGGGGAGGATCAGGGGTGGGTACCTTGTTCCGACAGTTCTGGTTTCTTCTCCCCCTGGTTCAGGTCTGTCCCGAATTTCAATTTATGATATTTGGCCCTAAAAGATCAAGCGATTAACCAGTGAGAGACGCGGAAGCGTAGGCGGGGCCAGCCCCCACCTCGGGAATCCCAGATCCTCTCTAATCAGCTCTCCCTCTGAAGCTGAGCTGCCAGATTAGGAAGCAGCCCGGGCGGAGGAGGCATCACGGATGGCACTGTGAAGAGCCCACTCTTTGGAGTCGGGCAAACTGGGGTGTTACCCCAGCTCCAGAGTCCTTGAACAAGTCCTCACCCTCCGGGAGCCTCACCTGTACCCATTAGGCCACTGGAAGGGATAAGTGAGACAATGAATGTATGGTGTTTGGCACGCAGCGGGCCACCACCACTATGAATACTGTTATCAGTTGTTTACCCCGAATCCCGCCCACTATTTCCTGTTCTGTCCCCCTCTCCTGGAACCATGCAGGACTGGGTGATGGGGAAGAGAACGCTTGACCCCAAAGGCTTGATCCCTGAAGGCAGGACGGGGGACAGCTGGGCTCACCTTTCCTGCTTCAGCGCATATTCTAACATCTTGATCCGCCGCACCAGGTCTGTCTTGAGATTCTCTTGCCCCTTCCTTTCTCCCTGGAGGAAGGCCACCTGAGCCTGCGGCAGGGAGAGAGGGAGACAGGAAGACGGCAGGGCTCAGGCTCACTGACACGTGTCCCTCACTCACTCAGGGACAATGAGCTCCAGCCCTGCCTCCACAGCAACACACAGCAGCCACTTCTTTAGGCGTGAAGACCCTGAGCCAGGACTCCATGGAGCAGTGAAAGGGCGGCTGGATCTGTCTCCATGTCACCCGCAACGAAACAACTGAAGAGAAGCCCTTAACCCCTGAAATTAAATAGGGACAGCCTGGGCCTAACTTGGTCCCCACCTCTGGGGAGGAGGTGGGCCAGGGAGGTATTAACAGCCCTGGGCGCCTCCTCTCCCCACTCAGGCAGGTGCTGTCCCTAAGGCTGCTGGTAGAGGTGGCGTGCCACTACTCCTACCAGAGCATCTGTCTCTGGGAGGCGTGGGAAGCTCCTTCTGGCGTTTAGGGACAAGAGTGGGTGGCTCGGCTCAGCTCCCGCTGCAGCACGAAAGCTTCCCCACCCAACCCCCATGGTGGGGACCAACCTTTCCACTGGAGTCTGCCCAGGGTGAGGGAGACGTGCCACAGCCACGACCCAGGGCCCCTGCCAACCACTTCACACTGTCTGCTGGCATGGGCTGCCCCAGTCTGCTCTGGTCTGTCAACAGGTCTTTTGGAGACACCGGGTCAACGGCCTTCGAGGCGGGATCTTGGCCCCTGACCAGGTTCCGGAAGCCCGGTGCCAAAGCCCTGAGCGCAGGGCTCCTCCCTGGCTTCTCCCCAAGGCTCCTCTGTTCCAGGCTAGGACCGCCTGAGCTCCAGGCTTGGCTCGGCCACTTACTCGCTGCATGATCTTAGGCAGGTCACTGGCCCTCTCTGAGCCTCTGTTTCCCCTCACGTGTTAAGTTTTTCTCAGTCCAAAGCCTGGCACAGAAGAAAGGCTAACAAATGCCAGCTCCTACCTCTTATTATTTTTATTCTCCCTGTCTGTTCTTCTAGAGTCTTGAAATGGGCCCAGTTCTTTAAGAGAGCTAGGATCCCTCTGAGACCTAAGGCCCATCGAGCAGAGCTGTCTGTGGCTTACAGGCCTCCTGCCCCACAGGCAGCTGCATCTTCCTGAAGCCAATCCTCACACATCCAATGCTTATTGAAGAACTTCAACAGCTCCCCCAGAAGCCCCCAGTCGCCCCAGACACCTTTTCCAGGCGGTGAACATTCCCAAAGCCTCGCGCTCAAGGACTGTCCATTGTTGGCGGCCTCTCAGACGCCCATGAACACGCCTCTTCCTCGCCTTGGGGCTCAAAGGACCCTGACCTATCTGCCCCCAGCACTTGGAGCACAGCACAGCCTTGTGCCCACAGGCCTCCTATCACCCCTGTCCTGCTCCAGGGACCAGGTGTCTCCCACAGGTTAGCAGAGAACCAAATGTGTGCTAAGTATTGCCGAGCACTGGCCAGGGCCGGGGGCCAGGGAAACAGGCACACTCAGACACCACTGGTGGCGCCATAAATTGACAAACCCTTCCGGCAGGGCCATCTGGCCATATCCACAAACATGTTAAATGCACATGCCTTTTGTCCTAGCAGTTCCACTTCTAAGGAATTTACCCCACAGGCATAACTGCAATGGTAGACTTCCTTTTAAAACAATAAAAAGGCATATAGGTACACTAGTGTATGACAAAAGTATCATTCATTCATTTATTCACTCCACAAATATTTATTGAGTCCCAACTATGTATCAGATACAGTTGTGAACAGAGGATACAGCACTGAACAACACGAGGTTTATATCTTAGAGGAGGATGTGGGAAAAACAACGAACAAATAAATACACATCACAGGTACGCTATGGAAAAGAAACCTCATCTGTCCATTGAGAGAAAGGGACTCCCCCCAATACTTTTTTTCTTTCTACACTTTAAATCAACACATATGTACATAAACACCTAAGGCCAGACAGGCGGACTCATACGTGATCAATGTCTCGGAAGTTTGTATTTCTGTCCTTTGTGTTCCTTCTCAGTCACCCTGAGGTCTACTCTGTCCATGAGTTGTTAGAAGGTGGGGGGAGCGGTGGAGAAGAAAAGGTCGATCACCAAATACAAGTCCGGGGTCACGGCCTCCCTGTACCCTCACCCTTCTGGGCTTCCGTCCATGAGCTTCTGTTTCCCAGTGCCTGCGCGGCCTGCTGAGCCCACACGCATTCAGTATCCGACACTGGTGACCGCCTGTGACGGGCCAGGTTCTATGTGAGGTGCTGCAGAAGGAACGGAGAAGACGAGTGCCTCCTGTCCCCGCAGAGCCCTTAGTCTGGCTCAGGCGACAGACACACGAGCAGCCATAACTAACACAGGATATGACTAGGACCCCAGGGAGGGAGCAGAGGCAGTTAGGGGAGGGACACCCAACCCACTTCTGGGGTGGAGAAGTGACAGTTCAGCTAAGGCCTGAAGGCTGATTAGCAGTCGGCCAGGGGCTGGAGCATCTAGCTGGCCGAGGCCAGAGACAAGGGTGGCAAGGTGGGCTTAAGGAACTCTACAAAGGCCCGTATGCCTGCATCCGAATGTGTAAAAGGGTTAGTGAGGAAAATCAGAGAAGCTTGCAGGCCTGACAAAGGATCGCAGACCATGTGAGCAAGTCTGAAATTCATCCTAAGAGCACAGGGGAAGCTACGGAAGGGTTTTTTAAGCAGAGAAGAGATATAATCAGATTTACATCTTACAAAGGTAATTCCGCAAGCTAGAATGTGGAGAAATGATAGCTGCAGGGGGCGAGGGGAGGGCAAAGCTAAAGGCCGAGAGACCAGTCACAGAAGGAAGCAATCCCAGGAATCCCAGGGAGAAATGACAGGGGCCCAGACTAGGATCAGGCAGGGGGGCAACGAGTGTATTTAAGTTAACAAGGAGGTGGCCCTCACCTGTGGGGGAAGAAAGTGGAGTCGAGGGGCAGAAAGCAGGGTCAGACCTCACACTTGCTCAGCCTCCCGCACCCCCCTTGCCCCAGAGCAAGCCCTGATTTCCCTTCTCCTAATGATGATGCAAGAATCTCACTCTGGAGGACTTCCCTGGCAGTCCAGTGGTTAGGACTCTGCGCTTCCACTGCATGGGACACAGGTTTGATCCCTGAGCGATCGGGGAACTAAGATCCTGCATGCCGTGCGCCGCAGTCAAAAATAATCTCACTTTGCTCTGTGGGCCTCTTCCCAGTTCCTCTGGCAAAGAAGGGAAAAAGGAGAACCAGAAACATGTGGCTGAAGTGTCCCGAGTTGGTGGAATACCACAGAGAGGGGAAGTGCTGGTGGCCAGTCCCTCCCACCCCGCAAACACCAGCAGCCACGGCTGCCTGATCTGTTGGCAGGTAAGGCTGGGATCTGGAAGTTTTCTACCCACCACATCCACCCACTGCCACTCTGAGACAGGGCCTCCGCCTCTCCTCCGGCTGTTCCCTTGCCACCCAGGCGGCATGGAAAAAGCTTCCAGAGGGGCCTGAGCATCTCAGTCCTCCCAGGGGCCGCTGATGACGCTCTGTACCCCAACCTTTCTGTCCCAGCCCGCTCCCCGTCCCGGCTCAGTCCCATCTGGCCCTGCATCTCCTGCACTCCACTCATCCTCCCCAGGGTCTGGGGGCCCCTGGCAGGGTTGAGTCCCCTTGGATCCCCCAGAGCCCCTTGTGAGGCTGGCAGTGGAGACAGGCCAGCTCCATACCTTCTCCACCAGCTGCTCCTACATGAATGTCCAGTTCAGGCCCCACCCTCAAGGTCCCTCTCGTCCTCAAAGAGCTCGCTCCCCTTTGCAGAAGTACCAGAGATCGTGGGCAGAGCCACGCAATCAAAGACTCAACTGCGTCAGTGTGTACAGTTCTCTGCAACCTCCTGCACAAACCAGCCTTCTCTATTAGCCTGGAAGTTTCTGAAGGGCAGGAACCACATCACCTCCTTCTGGGAATTCCCCTACCTGGCAAAGTCCTGCTTATTATCAGACCACGTCGATGCCACCTCCCTGCTCCCGTCTTCGGGCGCCTCCTGGCAGGACCTCACGAGAGGCTGCCTTTTCTGCCGCTCCCCACACGCTGACTGCACGTGGGTGCTGTGCCAGGAGCAGCGGCACGCAGCTACTTGGAGAAAAGGTATTCAGAGTTTATCAGAAAAATCTGACGCAGTCCAGGCCTTAAAGGATCTCACAGGAGAAGTCACACCTCCCTAAGTGATAAGGGCTCGAGCAGAAGTGTATAAAAAGGGATGCTGCTGCTGGGAGTGTAAACGTGGGGCGACTTGGCACAACTAATCACCCCTTTATAAACACATCTATTCTACCATTCCACCCATCTATTCTGCTGTATACTCACAGGGGAACACAGGGACATTCACTGCAGCCATTTTCCACGGGCAGAAACGGGAAACAACCTAAAAGTTCAGCCAGAGGGCTCAAACTAAATGAGCTACGGTACAGACACCGGTGGAATGGAGTTTTCAAAAATAATAAGACCTCTCTCTGCTCATATGAAAGGAACACAAAGACACATGAGTATGTGGGGGAAAAAAGTCACCAAATGATACATGTAGTATGATCTCATATATTACACACAGAGATGAATTACTTTCATAGCAATAACGGTTTGGGGGGACTTTCCCTTTTCACTTGCGCACGTGCGCGCGTGTACACATCTATACACGCTGACGCTTCTGAGATCTTTGAATTTTTACTAATGTAACAGAACAAAAGAAAATAAAGGTACAAAGTAAGAAATACTAGAGCCTAGACAAAGGAGAGCCTAACTGGGTGCTATCCACAACTTCCTCTCAAACACCAAGAGGGACCACCAAATGTGGGAACAGACACATATTTTCTCATTTGTCTCAAAGATGAGGAAGCGGGGTGGTGAGTGCTGTAGGGTACACTGGTCTGTTACGAGTGCTGGGGAGGCCACTGGGTTTCCTTGGAACAGGCTTCTCATCTGTCCTGGGCGTCAGAGAGGTAATAATACATGGGCTTGAAAGCCCAGAGACCACCCCTGCCACCCACAGGCTGTGACCCTAGATAAATCACTGACCTTCTCAATGCCTCCATTTCCTCTTCTGATTATTAAAAAAAAAAAGGGGGTGGTGGTGGAGAGGGAATAATATCACTTACCCTTCCAGAATGTTGCAAGGATTAAATGATACCATGTATCTGAAGTGCCTAATACAGTGCCTGGCACATAATATTTGCTCAACAAACAGCAGCTGCTATCATGATTGCTAAGTGAGGGCAATGCCACTGGCTCTGCCTCCATAACGGGGTACTGAGAAGATCTAATAAGATGTACCCTGGGAAGGAGTTCTGTAAGTAGAGATGGGACACCATGGGACACCAAAACAAGGGGTACTTACATAGGATTTCTCTCCCACCCCAACCCCAAGCCTCAGCCACCACACAGCTAAGATCCCTATTGGGGTGGGAGAATTGCGGGATGTTCTCTTTATTCATCCTAAGGACAAAATTCTAATCCGATATTTACTTGGGTCCCCACCTCAATTAGATAGGAAATAGCAAATCGGAAGGGGAAAGACAGCTGCTAGAAGCAGGTACTGACTTCTGCTAATAACGCCCCAGCCCAGGGACCCTTTAAATCCTCACAACTCTGATACCCAGGCTCATGACACTCTACCAATCGACCCACACTTCTCAAGGTCACAAAACCCAGTCCAGCCTCAGCCTCTTCCAATCATCGTCCGAGGGCACATCCCTCCCCCAAGCTACACGACAAACCATAGGGTCCTTTCCCAGAAACTTTCACAAACACCTCCCCCCAGGATCCTTCTGAGATGCTTCCTCTGGCTGCCTTCCTGCTCTACAAAATGCTCCCCCTGCCATCCCTCAGGTCCCCCGGATTCCTCCTCACATTCTCCATCTCGCCTCCCATCTCCACAGCTAGACATGTTTGACCCTCCCCCACTCCAGTTCGGGGTTCTCCATCCGACTTCCTACACACTTCCCATCTCAGGGCGGGGGTCCCCACTCCTCCACACCCCCAAAGAGTTTCGGCTCTCAGGCTCTTCCAACACAGGTTCTTGGGGCACGTCCTGGCCCCGTCCGTGCTTCCGACCCAGGGACCCCCTCCCCTGCCCTCCGAAGCCACGCCTGCCAGCGCTCCCCAAAGTTTCCTCCTCAGAGGGGAGGGCACACATCTTCATCGGGGACCCCCCGACACGTTGCTCTCATCTCCCGAGTCCTCAACACAGCCGTCTTTCAGTCCCTCCTGTCCAAACGCTCAGAAACACACCCGTCCCGAGCTCCCTGACTTCCTCTTCCCACTCACCCGGGTTACCCTCCCCGACCCGCTCTCGCGCCCAACGGATCCCAAGTTCCCCCGACGCCCCCTCTCTCCCACCCGGGGCCCAGCGGGCTCCACCTCCAACGCGCACCTGGTCGGGGACGGTGTGGGAGTCCCTCGGCACCCTTGGAGCTTTTTGCTCACTCGCATACAAGACTCCTCCATCCCCTCTCATCACCCTTTGCTGAGTTCTCTTGGGGTTCCCTCGGGGCCCCGAGACCACTCTCTCAGGAACCCTTCTGCCGGTCCGTTCACTCCCACTCCCACTTACAGCCGGTTCTGCTCCCCTGCGCCCCTTCTCTCGGCGGCCGCGGTCGGGCCCTCCCGGCCCTGAGCCCTCCTCCCGCCTCCAGCTGCCCGGGTGCCCTTAGGACCCCCCTCGGACGGCCCCTCACTCCGTCTCGGGGCCTGTCGCGGTCCCCTACCCGCCCCCCCAGCCGTCCCGGCGGCCATTGCTCCAAGATGGCGGCGGCGGCGGCGGCGGCGGGTGAGGCCGGGCCGGGCCGGGCCGGGCCGGGCGGGGGGTCGGGGGTCCCGGGGCGGTACTCACCTGCAACTCGGCGCGCTCGGCCTCCCAGCGGGCCTTCTCCGCTTCGAAGCGCGCCCACTCGTGCTGGATAAAGTGTAGGATCCCGGGCAGGCTCAGGGGCTCCGGCCCCGCCGTGGGGCCGGGGCTCCCTCCACCGCCGCCTCCCTTAGCAGCCGGGCCGGGACCGGGGGCGGGGGCAGAAACCGGGGCCGCCCCCGTCGGGCCGGGGCCCGCGCCGGAGCCGAGCGGGCGGCAGGAGGAGGCGGCGGCGGCAACCGCGGCGGCCGCTCGCTCCTCCATCATGGAGGCCCCGGGGCCGGCCCGCGCGCCCGCTGTGCCTCGCGCGCCTGCGCGGCCGCGCCAACAGTCTCGCGCGCGCGCTTGGTGGGGGCCGGCGCGGGGAGCCGGTGACGGGAACGAAGTCGGACGCGCGCCTCGCCCACCCGGGTCGACCCCGAAGGCGCGCGCGTGGCGGGGGAAAGGGCGGGGCGGGGCGCGCGCCCGAAGGAGGGCAAACGCGACCCAGGCCTGGCGCGAGGGTTGCCTTTGGGAAGCGCGGGACTTAAGGAGGGGCCGCTTTCTGCCCCCCTCCTCACGCTTCACCCCAAAGAAAGACTGTAGTCCTCTCCGGACCCAAACACCATTCTCTTCGACAATCACTGTCACTCTTTCAGAGACAGAGCGACCACCAACGGTGGTTTCAGCAATGGTCCCATCCTGATTCCTGGCCCAGGTCGGTTGTCATGGTAGCTCTTCCCAGTAGGGAACACCCTTAGCCTCCCCTCCCCTCCACCTTTGTGGTTATGGAGCTCCAAACCTGTCCTGGCCCTGCACCAGGAAGAGGTCGCTAAGGTAACCCAAGTCCCTGGTGGTCCTCATACCCCTACCCTCATTGGTTACTATGGCAACCTCACCTAGCACTCAGGTAGAAAGGACCCCAGCCCCAAGGACACTGCTGAGGGAAACATCTCTTTCCCAACCCCTCCGCCCAGCCACCCAGTTGGCATTACCATGGTAACCATCCATCTCCCCCTTTCCCATCAGTGGGAGGTCTGTGGACCAAACCAACCAGGTGTTTTTATTTAGAGGAGATGCTCTGCTGAGGAGTAGTCGCTATGGTTACAAGGCCTGGATCATCCCCAGGGAGGTAAGAAAAAAGCAAAGCCAAGTCCTGGTTACTATGGTAATGGGGGCAGTCCCCCTTCCAGTGACCCTAGGAACCAGGCCCACCAAGGTACAGGACATTTTAGGATTGTCTCTCAGGATGGAGTGTGTCTAGGAAAGGGGTTGTCATGGTAACACCTGTCACTTCTAGCCTTACCTTTCTGGACACATTTATGAAAGAAGGGATGGTTATAGGTTGCTATGACATCCTTCCCTTCACTCCTTCCCTTCACAGATGCTTCAGGTGGTCCCTGAGCTTATGAGATTTCAAGAGAAATGATTCCTTGACCTTCTCGTTGCCACTTTTGTAGGTAAAATGAAATTGTGCTCTATTGTGTGAAATTGGCTGATTTGGGGTTTTCTGGTTTCTCCTTCCCTCAGCAGTGCAGCTGAGCTGGGCTGGAACCGCCCCCCTGGAGCTCCCTCAGCCTGCAACCTAGGAGGTAAGAAGCCCCTCAGTGTCACCTGCACTCACGTGGGAACTGCCCTTGTCCCCAAAGGTTTTTCCACACATCACTCATTTTCTTTATCCACCACATTCCCATTCTACAGATGCAGCAACTGAGGTTCAGGCCAGGTGAAGTCTAGCCTGAAGTGAATGTGGATCCACTTACCTTGTTTTGTGGGCAATGGAGAGACAAAGTCTCAGCTTAACTGTCCTCTCCTCCCCTGACCACCTTTTCTCTCTCACGCTCCCTGCTGGTTTCCTGCTCTATCTGTAAGTTGTTTGCAGGGATTTTGTCTGTCTTCCTACCTCTGGAGGGCCTGCCCAACCACTGCCTGGTTCACCCCGTGTCCCCAGAACAGAGAGGGCACTCAATAAATATATGTTTGTTGAGTTAATGAGTTGAATTAATTAATTAATGTGCCATATTCAGCTTTGAAAGCACCTGTCAAGTGAGGGCAAGGGAAAGGGGTTATCTCACTGAAGATGGGTTGAAAGTTGGACTGTCTTTGTGGACCCAAAAGAGACAGCAGAGTTTATTGGCTAAAATCACAACACTGGAGCCAGCTTCCCGGTCAAATCCCAGGTCCACCACTTCCCAGCTGTGTGACCTTGGGCAAGTGACTTCACCTGTCTGTGCCTCAGTTTCCTCATCTTTAAATGTGATCATAATGTGAAGATTAAACAAGTTAAGATCAGTAAAATGCTTAGAACAGGAACTGGCACATCAAGAGCAGCTAGAATTGTTGATATTATTATGATCCTTCAAAATCATCGTTTCATCCACTTTGCCCCAGTGAAGGAGTTTTGAGTCCTTACAGCTGGGGAAGCCAAGACTAACCTTGTCAGGGTACTAGATGATTCCTCTCTCTCTCTACTCTGGTTCCCTCACCTCCTCATCTGGCTGTCATACCTGCTGGTCTCTGAGAAACTGGCTTCTGTCCTCTATCCTTTTGGGCACCTTCTGGCCCAGAGTCAGCCAGATAGCGCGCGGTGAGAACCAGGTTCCGGGCGCGGAGACCTGGGTTCCGCTCCCTCTGGCCTTCCTCTCTCTGTGCCGCAGGTTCCCCGTCTGAATAACAGGAGTCAGTCATTCATTCCATACAAATTTATTGAGCACCTGCTGTGTGCCAGGTACTGAGCCATGTTCTGGGTGTACAGCAGGGAACAAAACAGACAAAACAAGAGACAAGACAAGTAAAATCTACATGAGAACTACTAGGGGAGGAAAATAGCCCAGGGATGGGACATAGGAAGTATGTGGGTGATAGGGAGAGGCATTTTTAAGTAGGGTGGCCAAAGGAAGGGATCACTGGACAGGTGACATTTGAGCAAAGACCTGAAAGTCAGGGGAGAAGGCATGCAGCTGCCACCTGGGGGAGAGCATCCAGGCAGAGGGGACAGCCTGTGCCACAGCTGGGGTCTCCTGGGTGTATTTGGAGAATGGTGTTGGTGGCCCACGTGGCTGCAGCTGAGCAGACAAGTGGGAGAGGGTGGGGGATCACGTGGAGCCTCGTGGGTCCCAGCGAAGACTTTGGATTTTCCTTTGAGTGAGTCTCGAGCCACAGAAGACTTGAGCAGACGCAGGACAGAATCAAACTGAAGACTGAACAGGATCCTTCTGGGCTCTGAGTGGGGCACAGACCATAGGACACAAGGCCGAAGGCGGAGGAAGGTCTCTTTAGAATTGTTAGAAGATTCTGAAACCATCTAAAGGTCTCTTCTCTGTTTCTGTGTACCTGAGCACTAAAATTCTAAGATTTTTAAGACCCTGAAGATTCTGTGGTCCCAACGGTTCCTCCCCCACACAGTAATGTGAGTTGCCCAAGCTCAGTGGTATTGTCTGTCTCTGTGTGTTATGTGTCCACGGCTGTTTCCCCGGGGCCTAGGACAGTGCGTGGTATGTTGTACGAGTTCCACAACCTGGAACGATGGAAGGAAGGAGGGATTGATCGAAGGTCCAGAAGGCAGTTCCAAGGTTCTGAAGAATAACAAGTCGCTCTGAAAGTGCAACTCAGACTCTTAAGTGCCGTCTGAGTTGGGTCAGAGAAGGGCAAGCAGCCTGGGTTGGGTGAAGAGGGAAGAGAGGGCGTTTCTGGAGGGAGGGAGGAGACAGGGAGACCAGGGCAGGGCCCCAGGTGCACGGCCGCAGTGCAGAATTTGGCCCTGGGAACCTGAGTGGGCTTTACAGACTCACAAAACCCCTACCCCCAGTCATCATCTTTTCACCAAGTGCATTTTCAGTGCCCAGTCATGTGGGAGGAACACAGTGGTGATTGAGACAGTCCTGGCTCTACCCTCCTGGGGCTCACAGTCTAGTGGGGCAGATAGAACCATCCCCAGACAGTGCCAGACCAGAATAGGCAGCCCAGGGGTTCTGGGAGCCCAGAGGGGACTTCTGACTCAGACTGTGGTTCAGGGAGGGCTTCCTGGAGGAGGGGCCATCTGAGCTAAAGCCTGAGCATAAGTGAGTTCTCCAGGAGAAGAGAGGCACAGGGAGAAGGGGTGTTCGAGAGGAGACTCTTCTAGGCAGGAGGAACAGGATACACAAAGGTTTAGAAGTAAGATCTGTTTGAAGAAAAGTCCAAGATGGCTTAGGCACAGAGTTCGAGGATGCATGGCAGGAGATGGGGCTGGAATGGTGGCAGGCAAGGGCCAGGTCATAGGAGGCCTGGTGGGACTTTGTAAGAAACTTAGACTTTCTCCCCAGGGCACTAGGGAGCCATGGCAGATTCTGAGCGAGAGAGGGAGAGGTCAGATTTGTGCTTTATGCAGACCCCTCTGGCTGCCACGAGGAGGGGACTTAGGAGACCGTGGGAGGCTGGGTGGGGATCTGGGTGAACCAGGGTTGAAGGGAGAGCTGTGGGAATGGGGAGGAGGGGGTCAGAAGTATTTAGGAGGTAGGAAGATTAGCGGGGTCTCTGACGTCCCCCTCTCTGGGAGGGGCAGAACCTATGAAGATCCTTCATGGGGAAACTTTAGTATCTGCTCAGAAGAGAGAGTTAGTTATTCCTTCTGTGCTGGAGACCAGCCACATCTTCAAGTTGTGATGGGGACATGGAGACAGCGCCACCTGGGGGTTGCTTAGGAATGTGGCCCATGTATAGAGGTGGAGGTGCCCTATGGAGGGAGCACAGCCTCTTTGGATGCAGCCCACTCTACTTAAAAAAAAAAAAGAAAAAAAAGATTTTTTAATTGTGATAAAATACACATAACAAAATTTGTCATCTTAACAGTTTTCAAGTGTATAGTTCAGTAGTGTTAAGTATATTCATATTATTGTGCAAACAATGTCCAGAACTTTTTCATCTTGCAAAACTGGAGCTCTATACCCATTAAACAACAACTCCCCGTTTCTGCCTCCTCACAGCCCCTGGCAACCACCATCTACTTCCTGTTTGTATGAGTTTGACCCATTCCATTAAAAAAAAAAATTAATTAGTCGCCAACATTACAAACTGGAATAATTCTATGATTTAAGAAAACATTTCTAGCTTTCCTTGCAAAACCAAAAACATCTGGCTGACCATCAGGAAAGAGATGGCCAGATGGCAGAGGATTTGAGGAAGTGAGAAGGAGGCAGCAGGGGAGGGGCTTGGGGGCCAAGGCTCTGACCCCCCGGGGTCGGGGGGGCGCGGGGGGAAGGGAAGAAGAGATCGGGGGTGAGAGCAGGGAGTGAATGGGGTCTGGGCATTTATAACTGAACCCGAATCTGAATGAGAAGTTGACAATGAATAAAAGAGTGAGACTGAACAAGGAAGAAGGGAAGGTGATTCATTGGTTAAAAACTTCCCGAGCATCTAATGTGTACCTGGCTCTGTGCTGAGTAGCCTTGGGGACCCAATAGTGACCAAGACAGGCTCAGGACCTGCCCTCACACAGACTGGGCCCTACTCACTAATGAATTAGAGTGGTAGGCTAGAGTCGGGGAACCCAGGGGTCTGAAGGAGCCCAGAGGGGGTTGCATGACCCAGCCTGGGATCAGGGAGGGCTTCCTGGAGGAGGAAATGGTGGAAGTGAAACCAAATAAGGAAAAGGCTGGGACAGGAAGACAAGGCTGAGGATGCGTGGGGGGGGGTTTCTGACAACCAACTCCAGTCTCCCCTTTCATCCCTGCTCCCCAGGATACCCGGGAAGCCCAGCTAAGGGCCTGACTTCAGCCCCATGCGGCTCACCCGCTGCCAGGCTGCTCTGGCAGCCGCCATCACCCTCAACCTCTTGGTCCTGTTCTATGTGTCGTGGCTGCAGCACCAGCCCAGGTACTCCCCGGCCAGGGGCTCCCGCCGTGGATCTGCCTCCGGCCCCGGGGTCACCATCTTGGTGCGGGAGTTCGAGGCCTTTGACAACGCGGTGCCAGAGCTGGTGGACTCCTTCCTGCAGCAGGAACCAGCCCAGCCGGTGGTGGTGGCAGCCGACACGCTCCCCTACCCGCCTCTCGCCCTGCCCCGCATCCCCAGCGTTCGCCTGGCGCTGCTCCAGCCCGCCCTGGACCGGCCCGCTGCAGCCTCGCGCCCCGAGACCTACGTGGCCACCGAGTACGTGGCCCTGGTGCCTGACGGGGCGAGGGCCGAGGCACCGGGCCAGCTGAAGCGCATGGCCGAGGTGCTGCGAGCGGGAGGCGCACGCCTGGTGGCCGCTCCCGTTGCTTCGGCCAACCCTGCCCGGTGCCTGGCCCTGAACGTCAGCCTGCGGGAGTGGACGGCGCGCTACGGCCCAGCACCCTCCGCACCCCGCTGCGACGCCCTGGATGGGGACGCCGTGGTTCTTCTGCGCACCCGCGACCTCTTCAACCTCTCGGCGCCCCTGGCCCGGCCCGTGGGCACCGGCCTCTTCCTGCAGACCGCCCTCCGCGGCTGGACGGTGCAGCTGCTGGACCTGCCCTTCGCCAGGGCGCGCCAGCCCCCGCTGACCACGGCCCACGCGCGCTGGAAGGCGGAGCGCGAGGGGCGGGCGCGGCGGGCGGCGCTGCTGCGGGCGCTGGGCATCCGCCTGGTGAGCTGGGAGGGCGGGCGGCTCGAGTGGTTCGGATGCAACAAGGAGACCCCGCGCTGCTTCGGGACAGTGGTGGGCGACACGCCGGCCTACCTGTACGAGGAGCGCTGGACACCCCCGTGCTGCCTGCGTGCGCTGCGCGAGACGGCCCGCTACGTGGTGAGCGTGCTGGAGGCGGCCGGCGTGCGCTACTGGCTGGAGGGTGGCTCGCTGCTGGGGGCGGCCCGCCACCGGGACATTATCCCGTGGGACTACGACGTGGACCTGGGCATCTACCTGGAGGACGTGGGCAACTGCGAGCAGCTGCGGGGTGCCGAGGCGGGCTCGGTGGTGGATGAGCGCGGCTTCGTGTGGGAGAAGGCTGTGGAGGGCGACTTCTTCCGCGTGCAGTACAGCGAGAGCAACCACCTGCACGTGGACCTGTGGCCCTTCTACCCTCGAAACGGGGTCATGACCAAGGACACGTGGCTGGACCACCGGCAGGATGTCGAGTTCCCCGAACACTTCCTGCAGCCTCTCGTGCCCCTGCCCTTTGCCGGCTTCGTGGCGCAGGCACCTAACAACTACCGCCGCTTCCTGGAGCTCAAGTTCGGCCCCGGGGTCATCGAGAACCCCGAATACCCCAACCCAGCACTCCTGAGTTTGGCAGGAAGCAGCTGAAGCTCCAGCGCCTGGTCTTGGAGTCAGGAGCACACTCAGGCATTGTCCTTTGTCTTGGTGCTGCTGGCGTTTGGTGGGCAGGCCAGGGATGCCAAGCCACCCTGCTGGGCCCAGCACAGCCTGGGACCTCAAAGGTGTGCCCTGCCCCAAATTTCCAGAACCGGGGCTCCAGGGCTGGGGCAGAGTTTTGGAAAGAGGGGGAGAAAGAGTGTAGGTTCTGGAGCCAGACTGCTGTGTCCCAATTTCTCTGCGCCTCGGTTTCCTCCAGGATTCAGTGTGTGCCCTCAGGGTCTAGCACACAAAGAGCCCCAGGACACTTGGCCGTTGGGGTTGCTTCCGCCACTAGAGGGCGCCCTTGTCCTACCTTGGGGCCAAGGCGAATGTAAGCCCGGGACCTCTGTTCCACGGCTTTCACGTCTCTTGAGCCTTTGGTCTTCCCTCTAGCCTCCTGTGCCTGGCAGGACAGGATGACTAAATCCCCTTCTTTCAGAAAACGACCTCCTTCCCTCCTGGGAGAGCGCTGTGAGGTGCATGCTGCTCTTAACCCCATCTTGCAGAGAAGCAAACAGGCTCTGAGGTGTGGCTGTGGTTAAGAACCGGGTTCTGGATCCCGGCCCTCTCCATTTAACTGTTACCTCATTATTTTAGCTCTCTGCACCTGTTAGCCACTCGCAAGGCGGGGTAAACAATAATCATAGCTCACATTTACTGAGCACTTAGTGTGTATCAGGCATCGTTCTCAGTATTTCACACTGAGAGTAACTGACTTATCCCTCACCTTGCCCCTCTGAGGTGAGAGCTGCTGTTATTTTGATTTCACAGATGAGGAAACAGGCCAGAATGGTAAAGCCACTTGTCCAAAGTCAGACAGCTTGGGAAGTGTCAGAGAGGGGACTTGAACCCAGGCTGTCCGTCTGTAGCCTGCATTGCCGTCTGTAGCCTGCATCGCCATTGCCTGCTATGCCTCTCTGGTGATAGTACCCAAGGGGGGCTTTGGGAAGCCACACGGCTTAGCAGTTAAAGCGACAGCAGCCTTCCTCTTGTGATCGTGCACCTGAGAGGAAATACTGTTTGGGCATGTACCTCCAATAGGTATATTTATTTATAAATTATATCCAGGTACTACTTGCATTCTGTATGTTAGTAATAAGGCTTAAATTATTCCATTTTAAAATTAAAAATAAGTAGAGAGGGTTCTGATTACCAGCCTCGTCCCAGTGACTCGTCCCGCACACCCCTTGGGTGTATGCACCTGGCTTTGAGACCACAGGCTCTGAAGTGGGAGAGGCCTGGGTTCAAATCCAAGTGCTTCAAATCCAAATCCCACTGTGAACTTGGGCCACCAGTGACTCTGACTCTCTTCACCTTGGCTTTGCACCTAGGAAACAGGGCTAATGGTGACCCTCGCCCCACAGGAGTGCTGTGAGGCACTTGGGTGGTAAAGGGGTTGGGAGTCAGGGCCGGGTGTGGCTCCTGGCTTGGCTACTTTCTTTCTTTGTGACCTTAGGCAAGTCACTGCTTCACTGAAGGGGTGGCGGGGATTGGTGATATTGCAGAAGCATGAAGCCCTTGGAGGAGGGGGCTTCACACACCAGCAAGAGAAGATAAATGCCAATTTGGCCCAGGCTCCTGAGGCTCAGACATCCGAAGCCTGACTTGTAACACAGCCTCTGTTTTTAACCACTGAACCTGCCAATGGCTCGCAGTCTGTTGGGTTCCCAGGGAGCATTCTGGAAACATATGGGGATGATTTGGGTTATTGCTGTGATCGGACCGTGCTCTTGGAAGGCACGGCCCAGGGATGGAGATGTCTTATAATATATGCAGGGCACCTCCACACAATGAAGAAGGGGCCCTTGTCACATACTATTTTAAAATGTCCCATTGGGTATTCATGAAAGACGGCGATGTTCAAAATATTTTGTAACTGGTATGGTAATATAAATACATAAATCAATATCTGCATCACATCTTAAAATATTTTTTAATTCTCAAAATAATCAATATTAGCTATCTATATATACATATTTCTTTAAGGTGTTGCCAAGAACATAAGTTGAAGGTCAAATCACTCTTAAATTATTGTAATGGTTTTGTTTCATTTAGAAATTGTTGGTGTGATTTCTTGATTGGCACAGCTGTATATACGTATATACATAAAATAACATGTTATATATGTACCTATGTATATTTAAAATAACCTTGTCTTAGCTGTGGTTTGATAAGGGAACCGCATCAAATGCTTTTAGCAACTTCCCATTAAATTGAGAATCCTTAGGACTTGAGATCTCAATAGATAAAGAATTTCTCTTAGCAGCAACTGCAGTGTTTTGGTGTTTTTCTCCTCTCTTTGCTGTTTCTGAACTAACAGCAATTACATCTGAAACTTTTCTAGCCTTTAAAATATTGTCTAATAGTTTTGTCTATTCAATATGTTTATTACCAACTAAGTAGTGGGATGACAGAAAACCCATCACAACAACTAACTTGAACTAATTTATCGCAATAGATATTATTGAATTTTACGCTTTCTCACTCACTCTTATACTATTCACCAGCCAGAAGTATTTCAATACTTTAACAACTGGCCCATCCATACTAGTGCAAACTAACGAAATTTTAGCCTTACTTGGAAAAACCTGGTTAAGAATGATCTGAGCCTAGAACCTAACTTTCCTTAGGCAAACACAAAGTCCTTTTTAGATGGTTTTCATAGGTTCTGACTTTTCCAGGAAGTGCAACTACCATGTAAGATGAGGGAAGCTTGTGTTTTGTTCGAAACTTGGCCAAGGATTGTCAACAATATCAGAAAACCACGTTCCACCTGGTTCTTGGTAATTCAACACCTAAACCACATGTTTACAGCCACGTTAGGAGCTGCCTATGTTTCAGGTGTAAATGTTTGTCTCCCTCCTTGGGTTCTAGGAAGGTGGCCCCGCACATTTGCGTATTGAAATGCATATTTTAAATTCCTGTCCTTTTATTTCTCCTTTTTCTTACAGTTGGGGCAATGGGATCATTTTGTGTGTGTGTGTGAAGTATTTGCTTTTATTTTATTTTTATTTTTATTTTTTATTTTTTTATTTTTACTTTTTAGCTGTACGCGGGCCTCTCACTGTCGTGGCCTCTCCCGTTGCGGAGCACAGGCTCCGGACGCGCAGGCTCAGCGGCCATGGCTCACGGGCCCAGCTGCTCCGCGGCATGTGGGATCTTCCCGGACCGGGACACGAACTCGTGTCCCCTGCATCGGCAGGCGGACTCTCAACCACTGCGCCACCAGGGAAGCCCTTTATTTTTATTTTTTATTGAAATATAGTTGATTTACAATGTTGTGTTAATTACTGCTGTACAGCAAAGTGATTCAGTTATATATATATATATATATACATTCTTTTCTTTTATATTCTTTTCCATTACGGTTTATCATAGGATATTGAATCTAGTTCTCTGTGCTGTACAGTAGGACCTTGTTGTTTATTGGAATCATTTTTAATATCACGTGCCTGTGGGTTATATCATCTGTGAACTTAAACACAGAAGCATTAAATTGTGGGTTATTAATCCATTGGTAAATGGTCACTGCCAAGAGTCCCCTACTATTACCCTCCTGGCTCTCCCCGGGGACCCCCCGGGTCTCCCCCTGGCCCAGCAGCCCAGGGGTTAACACTAGGCACAGTGGGAGGAAAGGGGGTCCCAGGGACTGTGGGATGAGCCAACGCATTTACCAAGTTACAAATCTTCCGGGTATCGGCCCTGGATATTACAAAATATTTGCTCTGAAAAGTGAACGGCACTCAAAGACATGTTTACAAATGCACCTTTATGCACGTTAACTCAAACTGGAAACTACCCAATGTCCGTGAACACATGAGACAAACTGTACATCCAGACAATGGAATACTCAGTGATTAAGACGGGTTGGGGGGGCCACGGGGGGTGGAGGAATGAACTACTGATACGTGTGAAAATATGACTAACCCTCAAAAGCATTATGCTGAGTCAAAGAAGCCAATGCAAAAAGCCATATACCATATGATTCCACTAATGTGAAATTCTAAAAGCGTCAAAACGAATCCTTAGGGACCAAAAGCAGATCAGCTGTGGCCTGGGCCTGGGCGGGGACGGAGGGAAAGACAACAAAGGAGCACGAGGAAGTTTGGGGGCGGGTAGGAATGCTGTGTGTTTTGATTGTGGTGATCGATTTTCAAGCGTGTATGTATCTGTCAAAACCCATCCCGTTGTCTGCTTTGAGGGATGCAATTTATCGTATGTAAATTATACCTCAATAAGGTTGACCCCCAAAAAGCAGATGGCAGAGAGGGGCCAAATGGCCTAGAAGCACTGATCTGTCACTAGAAGACAAAGCTGAGTCATGACGCTGCCTACCCACCAGACTGTCACTCTGAGCTTGAACCCGGGCCCAAGCCCAATCCAAGGCCAGCCTGAGCCCTTCCTCCCATGCCAGCCTCCTTGGGAAAAAGCAAGAGGGGTGTCCCAATAATAGGAGTGGGTGGGGCAGGGGAGAAAGGGGTGGGGGAGATGGAGGCTAGGCTCCAGAGAGTGGCTCTCCAGGGCTTTTTCTTCTGCTCTTATGTAACCTTCATCAGCGGCCTTTGGGTGAGGCGTAACACAGCCATTGTCACCAGATGGTGACACCTGGCAGTGCTTGCCCGAAGTCACATAGCTGGTAGGTAGCAGAAGCGGGGTCTGCACCAGGGTAACAGCCTCTTATAGCGAGGAGGCTCTGTAGCTGGAGCCCAATTCATTCCTTCTGCAAATATTGAGTACTTACTATGTGCCAGGACCTCTGCTGTGCTCTGGACATACAGCTGCGAGCAGGACAAAGGTGGCTTCCTCCTGGAGTGCACATCCTAGTGGGGACAGGGTCTGGGAGTCACTTGAGGCCCTATCAATACCGAGGAGGTTTGACATGGCTCCAGTCTTTCTATATGACCTAGATCAGCATTTTAGGCAAACTAATGGCATGTGCTCAGCAATTTAAAAAAATGGAATAGAGTGCTTGCTTTGGCAGCACATACACTAAAATTTGAAATGATACAGAGATTAGCTTGGCCCCTGCACAGGGATGACACGCAAACTCGTGAAGCGTTCCATATTTTTCTAAAATATGACACAAATGAACCTATCTACGAAGCACACTCACAAACGGAGAACAGACTTGTGGTTACCAAGGGGGCAGGGGGTGTGGGAGAGATGGGTGGGAGTTTGGGTTTAGCAGATGCAAACTGGTATATACAGAATGGATAAACAAGGTCCTACTGTATAGCATGGGGAACTATGTTCAATATCCTGTGATAAACCATAATAGAAAAGAATATGAAAAAGAATGTATATGTGTGTGTGTGTGTGTGTGTGTGTGTGTGTGTGTGTGTGTAACTGAATCACTCTGCTGTACAGCAGAAATTAACACAACATTGTAAATCAACTAGACTTCAATTTTTAAAAATGGAATAGAAAAAGTTTGGTAAGTGGGAATTCCCTGGTGGTCCAGTAGTTGGGACTCTGTGCTTTCAGTGCCATGGCCAGGGTTCAATCACTGGTCGAGGAACTAAGATCCTGCAAGCCGCACAGCGTGGCCAAAATAAAAGAAAAATTTTTAATTAAAAAATTTTTTAAGAAAATTTAAAAATGGGTAAGTACTGTTTGGTGGAACATGGCCCGGTTAGTTGTATGTACATATATTTTCTACATAGATTGTACATGCAAAATATTACACATGTAGGTGTGTATCTCTTTAAATAGGCATACCTCTTCATCTAAATTTCATCCATTCTCCCAAAAGCATGAAATAGAAAATTGGGCAGTAAACAGCTATTTCAAGTGAGGAAAATAATGCACTCCTCGCTCCATCCAAAAACCCCAACTGATTTCCCCAAATATCATTTAACACTCTTATAAAACACTTCTGTAACAACCCACTAAGGTTTCTGGCATAATAGAAATTATTGAAAACAATTACTTAATTTATTCAACACTTAATGAACTCATTAGTGGCTATGTTTGTGTGCAATACACAATTGTGCACAGAATCAGATATGAATGATATTTTCCTGCCACACAGCAATGATCAGAAGTAACTACATAAACCCAAAAAAGGTGCTAAAGCTGTAACATGTATAATTGGTGGTGCCTCCAGGCACCTGGCAGAAGTCTACATAGGGACCTAGCAAGGGGGAGAGAATATCCGTCACAAGTAACATGCTTCAACAATACACAAGACAGGATCCTGTTAGAACAGGTGAGTCTTGACTGGTGTCGTCCGGGACGCAAATAGAACTGAAAACAGTTGCAGAACAGGTTTTTGATTCAAACAGCAAATTGGGGGTTTAAAAAAAAAAAAAAAGAGTGAGTCATTATTGGGACTATTAGGATAGTGAGAGTTATCAAGGGGTAACTGCATTCCTATGGACGTGGTTATAGTTGGAAATGAATTTACCACAGGTGGGACAAAATTTTTAACTGGAAGCTAACGTACCTAGGGTACATAATGCACACATCTAAAGTGTACTGGTTAGTTTATTTTTCCAAACGTTTACACCTGTGTAAGCATCAGTCATATCAAGATATAGGACATCTGCTGTGTCATAGAAAGTTCCCTTGTGCCCTCTCCTGATCTATATATAGATCCTCGTAGGTCACCATTGTTCCGATTTCTCTCACCATAGACCAGTTTAGCCTGTTCTAGACCTTCATTTATAAATGGAATTATAAAGCATGTACTATTTCTGGTTCCTTTCACTCAAAATGTTATCTGTGAGATGCATCGTGTTGAGTGTATCAATACTTTTTTTGCCCAGCAGGCTTCCATCGAATGATGATTGTACCAGCTAATCCAATTGATTTGTTTCTAAATTTTGGCAGTTACAGAGAGCAGCTATAACATTTGTGTACCAGCTTTTGTGTGAATAGGAGTTTTCATTTCTCTTGGGTAAATCCCCAGGAGCGGGACTCATGAGCCCCATGGTAAGTAGATATTTTTAAATACACTTTGATATTAAAGGGCCCAGTTTTTTTGTTTTTTGTTGTTGTTGTTGTCGTCTTGCGGTATGCGGGCCTCTCACTGTTGTGGCCTCTCCCGTTGCGGAGCACAGGCTCCGGACGCGCAGGCTCAGCGGCCACGGCTCACGGGCCCAGCCGCTCCGCGGCATATGGGATCTTCCCGGACCGGGGCACGAACCCGTGTCCCCTGCATCGGCAGGCGGACTCTTAACCACTGTACCACCAGGGAAGCTCTAAAGTGCCCAGTTTTTATAAGCAACTGCCCAGTGATTTTCAGGTGACTGGACCATTTTGCATTCCCACCAGCAATGCATGGGCTGTGTCCAGTTCCACATTCTCATCAGCACTTGGTACTGCTTTTGTTTGTTGCCATGCCAATAAGTGTGTGTAGTGGTATCTCACTGTGGTTTCCAACAGTGTTGTGTGTATATATATATTTTTATTTTTTGGCTGCATGTTTTTTGATGAACAGATATTTTATTTCAATGAAGTCCAATTTATCATTTTGTTGTTGTTTGTTGTTTTCTGTGTGGCTAGCACTTTTAGTCAAATTCTTGAAAACATCTGATTAGATATACTTGACAATTTTATTGCTGAAAAACATCCTCTGGAGTAACAGCAGTGTGTGTCCTCAGTCTCCCCTCAGGGTTCCCGGGAGTGTTTCTGTTACTGTGAAGGGAACAGAGGGCCTGGGGACAGGGTGGGATTGTACCGTGGAGAGTCACAGAAAACACACACACACACACACACACACACACACACACACACACACAGAGCTAGAGCTACAGCCACCAAAATAACCATCAAAGGAGCCAGCAACCTGTCAGAACATCCTTCTGCTCGAAGAGGGAAGAATTTCCCATGGTGCCCTGTGCCCTGAGACAGGAGGCCATGCAGGCTCCCGGGATGGGGTGTGGAGGCCGCCACTTCTCCATCTTGCTGTTTCCTAGCCTTGGGTGGGGACAGGAGTTGAGGACTAGGGAGATTTGGGGACAGTCACATACACACAAGCAAACACATATACCCCAGCAGTGAGGCCTCCCAGATCTCATGGCAGGGAGGGAACCTGAGGCCTGTGGCTCCCCGAGTGTGTGGGTGGGACTCTCCAAGAGGCCCTGTTTGTCCGTTCATCCATGCCGCATGATTCCAATGTCCAAAGCACCCCACCCCCCGGCTGGGGCAGGGAGGGTCCCTACTGGGATTTACATGACTGATTCCTTCTCACAGGTGTCAGCGTCCCCAGCAGGTCCTGGACAGCGTTTGAGGAGAGGGTTCCCTTCCTCGGTGTGGTCTGGCAGCGCAGCCAAGGGCGCCTCACTCTTCACATGGATCAGCTCGGGCACTGAACTGCGGGACTCTGTGCGATCCACGTAATTTTGGAGGAGTCCTGCCCCAAAGGCGTCACCTTCCACGTTGAGGACGGTACAGGACCGGTCGCTGAAGGGGGAACAGTGAGGGGGAAGTGAGTGGGAGGGGAAGGGTCAGGGCCCAACTCTCTCCCCTCTCCCTGCCTGTTACCTTCAAGTCCCCATCATGCCCTCCTTCACAGAACCCTGTTCTACTCCTCTTAGGAGCTCAGCCCTCCATCCTCCCAGGATCCCAAATATCCCTTCCTCTAGAACCTTGAAGATCTTTTCCTCCAGAAGCCTCCTACCCACCTTCCTTCCCCTAGAATCCCAAGTGTCCCATCAGGCTTTCTCTGCCTTAGGACCCCAAAGATCTCCTCCATCCTCCCTGGATCCCCAAAGATCCTTCTTCCAATCAAATACAGAATTTGTTCCTTCTGGAACCTCAAAGAATCATGCCTCGCTTTCCTTGGGGTCCCAGAAGACCCATCAATGCCTCTTTCTTCTTCTGAAATACTAAGTTCCCCTCAGGTAATTCTCGTCCCTAGAATCCTCAGGATATTTTTCCTTCCTCTTTATATACTTTTGGTGTGGGTGTGTGTGCCATTTAAAAAAATTGAGATACAATTCACATACCATAAAATTCACCCTTTAAAAGAATACAACCCAGTGGTTTTTAGTTTATTCAGGGTTGTGCAATAATCACCACTATTTAATTCCAGAATATTTTCATCACTCCAGAAAGAAACCCTCGTATCCATTAAGCAGTTATCTCCCATTTCCTCCCATCCCCCAGCTCTAGGCAACCACTAATCTACTTTCTGTCTATAGATTTGCCTATTCTGAACAGTTCATATAAATGGAATCATATACAACGTGGTCCTTTTTGTCTGGCTTCTTTCACTTAGCATAATATTTTCAAGGGTCATATGTTGTAGTATGTACGTTTGTATCACTGCTTCATTCCATTTTATTGCTGAATAATATTCCATTGTGTGGACATATGACACTTGGTTTATCCATTCATCGATTGATAGGTATTTGGGTTGTTTCCACCTGTTCACTATTATGAATAGTGCTGCTATGGGGATTTCCCTGGTGGTCCAGTGGTTAAGACTCTGCCTTCCAATGCAGGGGATGCAGATTCGATGCCTGGCCGGGGAACTAAGATCCCACATGCCTCGGGGCAACTAAGCCCATTTGCCGCAACTACTGAGCCTGTGCTCTAGAACCCATGCACCATTAGAGAGCCCGCCTGCCACAACTGAGACCTGACTCAGCCAAATAAGTAAATTAATTTTTTTAAAAAGGTGTTGAATTAAAAAAAAAAAAAGTGCTGCTGTGAACATTCACGTACAAGTTTTTGTGGACATGTTTTCAATTCTCTTGGGTTTAAACCTAGGAGTGGTATTGCTAAGACACATGGTAACTCTCTATTTAATTTTTGAAGCCAGACTTCTAATCTTTTACACTCTTAACAGCTTAATCATGATAGTTAACAATTACATAGCATTTCTGACTTACTGTTCTAAGTAGTTGTTCTAAGAAAGCTGCATGTATTGAGTCATCTAATCCTCCGGGAGGAACTATTCTCTCCATTTTACAGATGGAGAAACTGAGACACAGGGAGATTAAGTACTTGCCCAAGGTCATTATAGCTAGCAACAGTGGCTCTGGGGGCCTGGTCTAAGAGTCTGCTCTATTAACCACTGGGACATGCTACCTGTCTGGGGTTCCTCTTGGAACCCCAAAGATCCCTTTCTTCCCTCTGATTGGAACACTCAAGGTAAGGTCCCCTCCCCTTTCTTCTAGAACCCCTTCCTTCCTCTCTTCTGCTCAGAGGCTCTCAATGACCCTGTTGCTCATCCCCTTTCTCAGGAGTACCCCTGAGCCCCCCGAACCCCCGAACCACACTCACACTAGCCAGTCCACAGCCAAGATCAAGGAGATGTCGTGAACCGGCAGGCTGACCGCCTCGAGGATGATGGCCAGAGTGAGGACACCTCCGGCGGGGATGCCAGCGGCGCCCACACTGGATGCTGTGGCGGTGACCCTGGGGGAGGAAAGGAGAGGTCAGGGAGAGGCCGCTCGGTAATGGGAGAAGCTGTGGGGGTGGGGTTGCTCCTCCCAGCTCATGTCCATTCTAAAGGGA